TATTTTCCACAGAACTCTTTCCTGCTAATCAGCAGGAAATCAGCTCATCATAGTGTTCTGCATTGGTCTGCATTTGAGTCTGTGTTGACTTCTGGCAACTACTTCTTCCCAAGGCTGAGGATGTGACCAGCGCACAGTGACATAGGCTTTATGCCTATCTAGAAGCATACTTTTCTAGTTTCTAGCCTGGTATTTTAATCACTACGCATAATTGGGTCTTGTTATCCATTCTTTGTGCATAAGTGTAGAGACATTTAAATTAACAGACCAGACTTCTTGCATTTGTTTTCCATTTATCCATGTATTATATTTCTTTTGGATCATTGCTAAACTGGTAATTTCCCAAACATTTCACTTGGTGCTATATGCTGTCTGTTACTTGCCAATTTGTTAGTCACCAAGTCCCTTTCTTGTATTCTAGTGTAATGCTTCCTGAGCAGGTTAATTAGTCATCATCCAGAAATGTATTTTCTCTCCTTAGTGAGATGATTTCCATCTTTTCAAATAGAATCCCTTTCCAAACGCTTAAACCACTGTTCAAAAATCCAAATTTCTATCACTTGTACCAATGTTGCACCCAGCAATTCATTCTAAAATTTATTTCTCTTGCTGGACTTTTGCCTTCCATTGGAAGCATTACTAAAACATCATCCAAGCTCCTTCACCCTCCTCCTTAAAGCCATGAAATCACTTGGAAGCATGGAGCTCATATCTTGTAGTATCATTGGTGCTTATATGGATGAGCAGGAAAGGTCTTAACCAGACAGTCTTCAACCTTTATGTCATATCTTGGATTTGGGAACTTGGGGTTCAGTGAACATGCCAAAAATGACATGTGAATGACAAGTGGGAGCTTCTACGTTTCTCAAGAGGGAGCTACTTTTCTTTCATTTTCTTCTTGATCATTGGCAATGGATCTCTTCTATTTGGATCAGGAAACAAACTTCATCTGTAGAGGGTTTTTGTGGAAACTCTTTGGAGGCTAGAGTTGGTTGCCAGGATCTAGGAAAAAGCCTCTTTGTGCTAGTTTTCTTCTGACAGTGATGTGTTGGCAACTACTTGCCAACTTCATCTTTGATGAAGTTGTAAAATTCCCTCCCTTGCTCAAGAAGTATCCGCACTGCTTAAGATACCTTCAACTTGACAAATGAGGTATATGAATGATACTCTGACCTCCAGTTCACCAATTTTTGGTTTCAGAATTCCCACAAACTTGATGCTTTATATAGACATTTTCTTCTGGGGGAGAGCATAACATCTCTTTTTCAGGTAATTCTCAGAATCTATTTGTGGCAATGATGCTCTTATAAATTACTGGGCAAAGTAGATTTTTTTAACTAAGAACCACTCAGACTGGATTACCGGATGCATCCATCCTCACTCATTAAGTGAGGAAATAGGAGTTTGGTGGGGAAATTTAACTAGGAAGAGAGAAAGTTTAGGAGGGGGAAAGGATACTAAGCAATTTCCAATTGCTACTCTTTGCTCACTACGTGTGATACAGTGGTGGGATTCAGCTAGTTCNTTTTTTTAAAGTTACACGCTTTGCATCCAGAACCAGCGTAGAATGGTTTGAAATCTACCATTGAGAGTACATGTCTTCATATGGTTGCTGCCACAATTAGGTTCATATAAGAAGCATAGCTGGTATCTTTAAAAAAAATATATGAAATGCTCACATCAGGAAATACAGTACAAAATAAGGGACACAATCCAGCCATCCAAATATTTTTAATCCTTATGATTTCAAAGAGTGAGTGAGGAATTTAGTCTCCCTAAAATCATTAAAAAAAAGCTGGAACATGCCAAGGATTGGTCCAAAACCTTTTTACGGAATGGTATGAAAGTGAAGGGCAGGTCCTTGTCAGTTTATTACCTTTTCATAATCATTCACAGTACCTCCCTCTTGTTCATAAGCCGAAGAGCTGAATTTTAAGTGCATACTCTTTAATGCCGGCTGTTGGAGGGTTCAAGACATTAAGCATAATGGACACAAATATTTATGCAGAAATTGTCAAAGCAATTCAAAATGTTAACCGCCTGGCAAAAAATATTGGCAGCCTTGCTGAACCCCAAATAATAATTTAAAAAAAAGAAAAGAAATCCAAAGGTAATCGTAACATATTTTGGCAATGCAGATGATACAATGTCCATGACATTCTGTCCCAAGCTTTGAAGAATACTCTTTTGCTTCATCTCTTTTTAAAAAGTCAAACAGCATATGCAGCCAGCATCAATCCAAAGAATTGTTTAGTAATATCTTAAATTATTCTTTGTGGGGTTTTCTTTTCATCTTCTCTTCATAGGATTCTCCATATTCATTCACTCTGCTCTTATCCACAGGATAAAGCCTTGGGGTTAAAAAGAAATTGTGACATTTTCTTAATCGAAGTCTTTTCATGCATCTATTTTTTGCTATTGCTAATAATGCATATATACTTATATCTCTAAGACATGTATACTTGTATACTTATATATCTTGAATAGCAATAGCAATAGCAGTTAGACTTATATACCGCTTCATAGGGCTTTCAGCCCTCTCTAAGCGGTTT